AAAAAAAAAAAAATGGCCGTTTTGAGTGAAAAATTTAGAGATAGACTAAAACACTTCCAGCAAAGAGGATAAAATGAGCATGGGGTGTGGTATATTACATATATGGCATACATAAAATATTTTGTCATGTAATATATTAAGAAAGTGCTTATAACTATACCGTTATAAATTGATTCATATGTTATATTTGTTCTACCTGTAATGAGGGGAGGAGAGACAGACAAAGCACATATAAAAACAATGTCAGAATTCCCATTTGTATTTTATAATGCCTGAAAATTGGGGAAGAGACAGGATTAGACTAAAGAAAGAAACCAGAACGTCAACCTGCAGTATACTTCCACAAGCCCACACATTTATACATATTTGTCGGCTGAGGACACGTCAAGCAGGTATGACTGCAGGGCAGTTATGTTGGGGTCCAGCCACACTAAATACCCTGAGATTCCTGCACACTCCTCACAGTGGGCCAGAAGCAAATGCAAGTATTGATGTATTTGTTTTGTTTTTTTTTTCCTTCAGATAGGAATAGTAGATGTAAGAATATGGGTCAGGAAGACCAAGCAGCTGTGTCTTTGGGAGTTTGCAATGACAGAATAAAGGGGGGATACTATGTGTACAAACGGAGGACAGAAGGATATATATTTTTAAAATCTCATTTGGGGTAAAGGACTAGCGGTAAAGGTAATGCGTACATCAGGAGAGAGTACAGATGAGATCTTGTTTTGAAAAAGAAGAATTTCCATGAGTTTATTTGTTATTATTGCTAATGGGAAGATAATCTATGGTGGAATAGAAAGCATAGTATATATTTTTAATTATTAAGAAATAATACCAAAATAAAAAAGTATATAATAACATATATACGTTATATACTTATATACATATATAATATATAATTATAAATGAATGTATATATGTGTATATATGGATGTATATGAATATATATGAATATGTACGTATATGAATATATATGAATATACATATATGTATGTATATATGAATGTATATACATGTGTATATATGAATGTATATTTCATTTTGTTTTTTATTAATAATGTTATTTTTGGGGGGCGCCTGGGTGGCGCAGTCGGTTAAGCGTCCGACTTCAGCCAGGTCACGATCTCGTGGTCCGTGAGTTCGAGCCCCGCGTCAGGCTCTGGGCTGATGGCTCAGAGCCTGGAGCCTGTTTCCGATTCTGTGTCTCCCTCTCTCTCTGCCCCTCCCCCGTTCATGCTCTGTCTCTCTCTGTCCCAAAAATAAATAAACTTAAAAAAAAAAAAATGTTATTTTTGGGATTTATTTCTGGAAAGGGGTTGTGATCAATGACATCTGTATTATGTCACTTCCAATAAGGAAATTTCACTTTTGAAAATTTAACTGATGAACTTATTTATTTGTTATGAACTGATGAGCTTACTTATTAATCATTAATAATGATTATTGGTGATCATTATTTGTTGACCCAAGCATTGATACTACATTTTTTTCCCAAAAGATAATATTTTCAATTTATAAGTTTGTCTTGGATGCATAGTCCTTGCTCAGTAATCTTATATTAGGAGCTGGTAATTATTCAGAACTTCGTAATAAAATCTCTGAAAAAATGGCTTGGGGGGAAATGTCACTTGGAGACGATGTTGAACTGAGGGTGTCACATATTAGGTTAATTCTTGATTTGAGTGATTATGAAAAATATTTGAAGAGACATTGTGGAAGATTTACTACTGCGGCCAGACTGGAGAATCTAATAGAATTGTATTACTCTAAATCATATTAAGTATTGGAGAAAGGAGGCGGTACCATCTGGAAGTAAAAGACAGCAAATATTCCAGGTGTACAAAACCGGAAGAAACAGGCTGAAATAAGATAGCATTAGCTATTGCATATCTGCTGATACATATGAGTAGCCGGGATACTCTTCATGCCCCAAATAATAATTAAAATGTATTTTTTTTTAATTTTTTTTTCAACGTTTATTTATTTTGGGGATGAGCATGAACGGGGGAGGGGCAGAGAGAGAGAGGGAGACACAGAATCGGAAACAGGCTCCAGGCTCTGAGCCATCAGCCCAGAGCCCGACGCGGGGCTCGAACTCACGGACCGTGAGATCGTGACCTGGCTGAAGTCGGTCGCTTAACCGACTGAGCCGCCCAGGCGCCCCTAAAATGTATTTTAGACAAGGGAGACCCAGGAGCAATGATGTGGTGGAAAAGTAATTTTGTTTCCTGTGAATCCATTCCAAACTTTCTACTTGCTGAGCGCATTCTTTCTTTTCTCTTTTAGGTTTGTACAAAATACAAAGGACGTCGATGACACCATGTTTTGTGGATATATAGACACAATATATGTTTCCTATACACTCTGCTCTGACTCAAAGAATATTATATGTGAGAAGCTGGCTAACCCAGTGAAGATTGAGAACACACTAATGAGTGAAATACCAGATGAAAAATATGATTAGTGCAAGTAATTTGCTATTATGCTGCCATTTAAGCAACTGCACGGAGCATACATCTTGTGGCCCACACAAATGGAGTACAGATGCTATGAGACTAAATCTCTGCCTCTCTCCTAACCATGTACATTTGTAAACTTTCTTTCTCCTCATTGGCTATGGAACAGGAGCCTAAAGTCATACCTTATCATCTAGATACAGGCTCAATTTATGTTGAGCATGAATTCAGTGGGTTGGGTGAATATACAGAAAACTGAAGCTAACTTTTCCCGCTTTTCCAGAAATACCAAGGCAAATACCCACCTTATAGAACATCAGGGAAAATGAAAACTAGGAATTAATTATATCGAAAGGATAATACATCCCGAGCAACTGGAATTTATGCTGGTAATACTGTGGTAGGGTCCCCTCCCTAAGGAGAGAGAAAAAAAGTAACCTGGCTATGCGCCTACGTGACAATATCCCTCATGACCTTGTAAACTGAGACTACTTAATCGACTATATGTTTGTTTGTGTTGCCGTATATGGGAAACAGAGAAATAGAAAATGTATAGAAAACTATGCCACATGACGTTCGGTGCTCAGTTCTTCGGTTATGAACCAAACTGAGCAGTGCTGGCACGAATAAAGTTGCTTCCTGGAAATTCAAAAGCCTCAGTGTTACAACTCTCTGTGCGAGAATCCTGCTACAATACAGGTTGACTTACATGTTAGGAAAAAAAACATAAGAAACAGAAAGAAAAAATTTATTTTAATAGATGTGGAAAAGCATTTGAGAAAACATAATACCTAATCTCTCAGGAAACTTGAAGCAGAAGATTTCCCTAATCTGCTAAAGGAAGGTGACATCAAAAGTGTGAAAAGAAAAACAAACCAAACAAAGGACTAATAACCACCTGTAAACCTAACACCATGCTTGTGGTAAAAAAGTGAATGTTTTGCTTTTGAGCTCCGGACCCAGATCAGAATGGCCTTTAGCATTTTGTTCAGTAACCTGGAGACCCTGGCAGTAAAATAAGGCAAGGAAAATAAATTTAAATATTAAATTTAAAACATGAGAAAGGAAGAAATAAAACATTTTTATTTGTAGCTAATATATTTGCGTATGTGTGTGCGTAAAAACGATATAACTTATAAGCTATTAGAATACATAATTTATCAGAGTTGTTGGATAAAGCCTCAAAATACAATGTCAGGGTGTAACATCAATCATATTTCTGTAGGTTAGCAGTAAACCATGGAAAAAATTTAAAAAGCAATATCATTTATAACAGCATCCCAAAATAAAATAGTCATAAATGTAATAAAATGTGGAAAACATTCTGCCCAATCCTGGTTCCTTCCCCTCTCTTGCACTGAGGGTGCTCCCTAATAACCACCCCCCCC